AAACTTAAAAAATAATATTTTCAGTTCTGTTTCCAGTTGGATGGCACCAGTACATGTATGCTACTAATCTCTAAACTTTCAGCCAAATTGAAGTTAAACTTTAGAAATTATAGATGAAATCATTTTTTCAATTTCTGACAACAGAGTCCATGATGTCATACTTTGCCCATAATCCTTTGCGTGAAAATCAAGATGGCTGACTACATAATACTGATGAAAAGTTGAATATCTAGAGAATGAAAAGTGATATAAAAAAACTGTAAATTGCATTCTCCTACATTTGTAGAGCTTCTTCTTCAGGGGTCATTATGTTGTTATGGTTGATGTTTCCTTTGAATGTACCTGTAGATTCAAAATGTTTTAATAAATTAATATTCAATATTATAGTATCTAAAAAAAATATTGTCTTCTATTTTACAGGCATTGGTAAAATTCAACATCTTTTATGGAGGTTCATTTTGGAAGATGGCAGTCTCAGCTTACAGATGATCGACAACAGCGATCTCGTCAGTCGATCATTGAATGGAAAACTTATGCGCATGTGCATTTGAAGTAAAGAAGGTTATCAATCTAAACGGTGTCTAATTTGAGTTCATTCGCAAACAAATGGAGATACACGGAAAACATCCGTGTTACGAACAAAATTTCTATCGTGTGTTATAGCGAGGTTAAATGATTATATTCTGTTTAATGCCGTTGCTTGTTTGTATGTAATTACACAACACGTAATTATGTGTTTGTATATTATTTTAATTTGTCTTAGAATTTGGGGGTGGGTGGGGTGTTGTAATCTCTTGCAGTGAGAACCAGTGTGGCTTGCCTGTCGACGGGGTTCGAAGGGTTGTAAGGTGTAAGTTAAATTTCAATAAATGTTTTTGTTTTATTTTACCCATGTTAAAATAATCACTGTCGTCATCATTTTAACAGCGCCACCTACGGGATAACAATATGCAAGCGTCATGTTATTAGTGTGTATTATTAGTATTTTTTTAACATTAAAGTAGCAATATGGATGACAAAATGCAATTTTAATTATATTGTCTGATACTAAAATAATAAAATACTCATGTTCACTGATTATTTTTTTAAGTACAATCGATAGCAGTCACTGCGCATGCGTATTGTTGATTTTTGTACCATCTAATGTGTCTGTGTGTCTCGCATATTTTATTTTTATTTATTTTAGTTTACGATGAATCACAATCCACAGTTTGGTCATTAACATGTAATATCAAACAACAAAATTACAACGATTTGTTTGTTCGTTCATATTCGACACGATATCTTATATATCATGATATATTAAAGTTCAGCCTATCATTTAAAACAGTCATCTATGTATAACGGGAAGTGAGAGTCCCGTTAGACCGATACCTTTGTTCGAAGATCCGGATTCGTGGTTAGCTGATTAAACATATAGTACTTTCCGTTGGCTCTAAAGGTGAGTTTGCTCGAAAATTTGTATTTTTTTTATTTTCATTCACAACAAACATCCTCCACAAATATGGTTACACATACTTCCTGGTAATGTTTTCAACACGGAAAACTGGGAATCGATTGTGTCCCGTTTATTTACTATTTGTTTATTGCAATCGGAAATAAAATGTTTATCTCGACAACTAAATAATAATTCGGTATTCGTTTTATTGACATTTATTTTATTTTACTAGTAAAAGATACAAGTTCTCGTGATATTTGGGAAACATTTTGAAATATTTGAAAGATGTGGCACCTGCAAAATGCCCATTGCTTAAGGTAACGACAGGAAGATAGCCACATATATATGGCATTTCATATTAATTACTGCAACCATAGAAATGTACAAATTTGCGGTGTAGGCTGCCGCTCTTGAATACGTTTTGCACTCGTCCGCGAGTGCAGTGGTTGGCAAGAACCAGCCATTCGTACGGAAGATAAATTAGAGACATTTTTTTAAGTTATTGTTATTGAATATTCATGTGTGTGTTCATTTTAATAAAACAACTTGTTGGCAATGTTATCGCAGTGCTAATCAGCGAGAGACATTTGTGCAGATACTCGCATGCTGGTCGGCAAAAAAGGACAAATGACGTCACAATGTAACGGCCCATAGAAGGATGGAACTTTATGCATTTCGAGTCACTGTTCATTTTATGATTGGAAATGCAATATATGCATGGAATGAAATTGTTTATATTTTTGTTTGTTACTCAATATTAATATACATATTGGATTACAATAAATAATCTAAAATAATATTCTCTAGTACGCGTGTGTGCACCAATTATTTTCCTACGTACACAAACAAGTGATACGCACATGCGTAGTGTTATATTTTTATTAAGGTAGAAACATACTCATAAATGAAAATACCTAGAATTTATTAATTTCACAATAAATTGTACTCCACGGCAATATTGACTTAAAAGAATTGATATCACCAGCCTTTTTTCAAAAAAATTGATGCTTGTATTTTAGTGGAAAGTCGCCATTTTGGCAGTACACTGTATTATAATGCTTTTACCATAGGTTCCTATGGCAGAGATATTATGCCATATCTCAAAATCCAACCTGGTGACACACGCTGACAAAAATCATATACTGTTAATAAAAGAGTACTTTTTGTTGTCCTGAATTATTTCAAAAACTGTCTGGGGTTTAAAACGTGTCAAAATGCTCTCTTTCTTTAACATTGTGTTCTTCGTAAATGTTCTAAAAATAGCGATTTTCAAGAAATATTAGGGACACGTTTCTCAAAAAGCTTAACTGTAATACACGAAATAAAGGTATTTCATTGTACCATGAGACATTAGCTTCATGATTGTACATAATAAACTAATGAACATTGTCATGCGATTTATGACCAATTTTGTCAAAAATTATGAGTAGGCTTCTACCTTAAACGAATAATATTACGTGTGCTAAAATGCAACTTATTTGTTTTACGATAAAACATATTACATGTATAAAACTATATAACACATATCATCCAGTAGCTACTATTATTGCAAAACAAATGCGACTGCTGCAGTAACGTAATCTGGCTAGAATGAACACCCAACAACGCTTCCGATCATGAAAAATAACTTCGGTTTTCCGGTTGATGCGTAACTTAATATTGAGCGAATAAACAAAAATGGTACAACACCCATTTACATTTGGAATGTCGTAATTACAAACAAATTATATTTATATTACATTTCCCCTCTTGTCGCTGCCTAAATATAGATGTTTTCGGAACAAATGCTACATTGAGGAAGAATCGGGAAAACTTCGAGTGACATGGGCTAGGGAACTTATGATAGATGCCTCCGAGTCGAACATGACGTCAATTGTCTGTCTAGTAAGGTAATACACTACGTGACAGGGATAGTTCGGGTCTACGCGCTGAGAACTGGGATAACACACAGTCGAACAGTTACAATCATCCTCATTCGACTGGACACCATTCACTCAAACTCAATAACGCGTGCGTGGCGATGCTGACATAATGTACTTCAGTTCATACTGGCGATTGAGCAGTCGACTGGCGGGCATCGACCCTATAGTATTCGTGATGCACAAACACTACACCATTGTTTCTAACATCAATATAAGTTCCAATAAGACACTTACTATATAAGCACATATTCCGAGTTGCTGATTTGTAAGAAAAACTGGAATTTTAAAAGGTTTAGAACAGAGTCAGCGAATTTCTTTGTGTGGAGTCCGGTCAAACTCTGGTGGCAGCCATGTTTGTTTTTATTTTAAGAGAACGCTTACGCGCGTAATCATTCCATATTAGGAATTCGCATTTTCTTATATGGTAGGATACAAATACCCTGTAAAATGCCGCATAATTACGGTGACAACTGTATAATAATATATAATAATAAATTAATCAATATAATAAAATAAGCGATAACGTTGCGTGCGCTATGCTGGCGTTGATCGCGGCCTACCACAGACAATATATGCGATTTCTCTTAGCCACCTCGAATCATACTGTCCATAATAATGTAGTTCGCATAGGGAAATGAAAAAAGTTGCCAAATATATCTCTACTGAATAGAGTATCGCTGGTAATTAGAAACACACATGTAACTCATATGGGTGTTGTAAGCTACGTGGTGAATTGTGGGGGAAGTGTGCTAGAAAATTTCGTTAATTATTAGTACGGTATTGTTTACGGAAGTCCTAAGTTAAATGGCGGACTTTTGGTAGGTGGTAATTGGTATTATAGTGATAACACTTTAAATACCGTGACTGCATTGGGAATTATTTGATGACACCGACTGATAGCAACATTTGACGAGTTTTTTTTTTTCATATTTGTCAATACACAGATTACTGCTTTGTATATTTAATGATGACGTTTCTGATTTATAAATCGATTAATTTAAAGCCAAATAAAAAAGCACAAACATGTGTATCGTGTTGCTGGGATATGGTGAATCATGTATAAACAAACACCGCCATTCAAATACAGAAGCTAGTATCCTTCACCGAATTTAAATTGCAGGTTAAATGCGACAAAACAAAATAGAAATTTCGAATTAGTTAGATCGTAATTCAGCACTATTGATTTGATGGATGTCGCTAAACAAGACATCGAAATCGAATCGAGATGCAAAACATGTTGAAATGATCTGATAGGCATCCGTTCGCATTTTGTGTTAAGACAAAAAAAGTAAATGCGGTATTGAAATTTTTGTAATCGTCATGGGACGGTATCAGGAACACTTTAACACTTTTAAGACCAATCATGGAGCTTTTAGCTCCATGGACCAATGCAATCAAACGTATATGAACCACGTGATATGTCACAACCAATCAACGCCAGTGACGTGTGAACCGAACCGTTCAGAAGGTGTGCCTTTTTTTTTAATTTCCATATCGCGTTAAAACGCGTTAAAAATTATAATGTCCTAAAGAGATTGTTTAAAATGTTCTAGTTAACTATTACGTATTTCATAGCACTAAGATTTATTCAACACGTCACTAGTAGGAACGAATCTTTCTACAACCTTCTACCCACCACTATGTCCGATATGTACCGTCGATATGCGTTGCCGTTCAAAACAGACGGGCCACAGGAGGCCGTCATGATGACACCGATTCTGAAAAGTGTCATCGAACATTCAAAGAAAAACTACGACAATGAAATTCCGTCAAAACGTCGGAGACGCCGTAAGCAGGTAAGTTGAAACGTGTCAACGCATCCCATTAACGTCGAACTGAAATCATTTATTCGAGCCTCTTTATTCTCTATCTCTATTCACTGTCGGGATTTATTTGTCGTTTTCTTTTCGTGTAATTGCCAAACTTAGGATTTGTTTAATTGGCAAACTTTATCTGTTTAATCGGCTTAATGTGTGTTGTATTAATTAGCTTAATATTTTTCATTAAAGCCTGAGGGAGTATGAATGTGGATATTTAGTTGACTATCTGCCAATATGATTTTCTGGTACGGCGTCAGTTCATATTTAAAAACAAATATTTAGCTTACTGAAGTTGAATACAATCTTTAATGACTAACTCGTGTTTTGAGAGGTGACTGGTCATAGTATGAGCAAGTGTTTTTAGGGAACAGAACTACATGAAGACAAAATTAATGCTTGACAGCCATCTTGAAATCACTGATTGGCTGTCGTTTGACGTCATGCGTGGTCACTTATATTCAATTAGCACGATGCGATGGCTAATTTGCTAATTATTATCAATTTTCAAGTTGGAAAATTAATCATGATGGAAATCCAGTTATTCGTCGAATTGAGAAATATGAGGTGTTGAAATATAAATTTCAATGTAGAAAGAGACTTGCGTTCCGCATTTATCCAGCCCAAATTACGTAAAGACGTCGGCTCCGCGCAGAGGAAGTAGTTGTTATTACTGTTTCATTAAGAATTATTATCATAAATGACATGGTACTTGTGTGTATCATTTCACTGTCTTATTGTACGGAGAATGTGCATGGTATATCAGAATGTAGTTAACTGGGAGAAGCTATTATATCAATTTTATAGAAAGACTATAAAAAATGTAAAAGAACACAAAGTATCGAAATCTATATTATATTAACTTATAGAGCGGTGCACGCACACACCTCAATACACGCCTACAAATATTTACATTCTGGAAAAAAATATTCTATTATCATAACGATTCTCCACTCGTACGTGCAGTATACACACCGTGCCGCACACAGTCTCCCTGTTTATGTCCATCGTTATAATTGTTTCGTCTCAAACAGAGTACTTCCGTCTTCCGGTGTGTTTCACTCACATGAACATTGAATACTGTGGCCGGTATGTAAAAAGCGGCACGTACTCGTTCCTGGACAGAGATCAGAGATCACGGGTGAATTGTGGTTGCCGTCGAAAATACTGCTGTATTGCCATCTTAACTTCCTGCGATATGGCTGACATGGTTTTATTATGTTCGTCCAATAACACACAAACATCAATCTGTTTGACTTGTTTCGGTTCCTTGCTTCCTCTACCGTCAAAAAAAGGCGTGAAAGATATCTGAATCAGCTGTGCTGCGTACATGCCCTAAGCATATAACGTACGGTGTTTTGGAAATTTCACTTTAAGTATAAGATGATTGTACGACTTGTGGGCGCCACGTGTATGCATAGGGTCTATATCATTTGTTAGCACCAATTAAAATCTCGATAGCTTCGTGTTTGTATACAAGAATATAATTTAACATATTTTCAGTCCTGGCCAAATGCATTCCGCAATCATTACACAATCTTCTTGATACGTTTCTCGACATTGCCGGTGAGCACGTGAACGAGTAATATATTGAACTTGTGACAAATCTCGACGAAAACAAATCGTCTTATTATGGAATGTGATTGGTTAGAAATGAGGAGCGCGAGTATTCTAATTGTATATTTCTTAAATTATCCGACGGGTACGCCGTCTTTTGCTGTTTGCAATAATATTTGCATTAGTTTCTCAACAGTACAATAGCATGATATAACATACTATTGATTGTACCATTTTCAAGAAAATAATAACAAATGCTTCATTTTTTTATTGTTTTAAGTTTTCTAGTTTTAGCCATAGGGCGGAGATCGGCGCCGTATTCGATAAGTGTTTCATGCGACATTTACAACAAATGTAAATTTCATTACCCTCGGTACATTGCACAACGTCAACCTCCTTTCAATATGCATGTCTGGGGCATTACACTGCATTTCTGGTGTCAATGGGTCACGGTAATTCTGAACGCTGTTTTTTTAATATAATAAAATGACGCCGTGTGGTATACGTGAACACTCTTAACTGTATGAAACCGACAGAGTGAAACATGGGGGCGCAATTCAAGAGTCGAACTTGGTGAGCGCGTTGAGATAAGTTTGGATTTGTCAGACGCTCTAAGACCGAACCAAAACATGAAACAGTACACTTTACAATCAGATATAAAGCCCGACTGAGGGCGCAATTTGACGGTAACATTTGCCATGACTTCACACATTGCTTGCGGTATATGTAAAATTAAAGTATATTTTTCTGCATCAAATTTTCGATTTAACCGCCGCGGAAAGTCCTATAATATTTTGTTTTTTTCCAGAATTATAGTTTTCACTCGAATAATTAATAATGGTATTTTTGTTATGTTTTTTATTCCGGTTAGTATTGCGATGTATTTCGCGTATGTACTGATTTGCAATGTGTGCGCACATTACTTAAAATACTGGCTATGTACCAATATCCGCTATCCTCGGGGCGGACATCGAGGCATTTTCTACCGCCTGGCAACCCTCGCGGTGAAAACAAAGACCGAAAACTCGCAGAAAACGGTACTTTGCGATGGTTGTTGACAGTTCCCAGAGCAGTGTAACAACATTAGCCCTACGTGTGTAACATATATGAATTTGGTTGTTCAGGATTACTTCAAAGTTGAGTTTGTGTTGTTCTCTCGAGTTTTCACCGGCTCCACCGGCGTTCCACAGCTTCGCGCACAAAGCCCTTAGAAATACGTGGTACAGTGGTGCGCGTCTTAGCAACGTAGAACGTCCGTGACGTAGCTCCGCCCCGAGGATTGGTCATATCTGTGTTATACATTGATTCAATCAAAGAATGTAATTCAGTCGGTTAGTACACTATGACGTAAACCCCCATTCGCCCGCTTTGTATTCAACAAGCATTATGACTGTTGATATATGGTATGGCTCCTTATCTTAGTTGTAATTCAGACCCCCGTACGTGCCTTATTAAGGAACTTCCTCTACATATATAGTGGATGTGGTGAGACTAGAAATAGTTGCTACATTTAACTTTTTTTTTCAACTGTATTCAGCAGGACGAATTCAGGTACATGGAACTGAAAATCACCGGCGATATGAAGGAGATGATTGATCAGAGAATCACTGGTCAGACTCAGCAGGATAAATGGAAGGTATTTCAAGAGACGGGGATTCCCCCTGGTAAGTTTCAGGCTGTGTTATTGACACAGTGGATGGAACTGTGCACGTGCACGCGGTTATTTAAGTTTTCGGCAAACGAAATGCACCAATGAAAGCCAAGAATACAAAACACGAACTATTGCCTTTTGTGGCATTCGTGAAATATCGTGGAAATATGTTTCTTCTATACTTTTAGGCCATCGTATTTATATTCAGTTTGACACGATGTATCACTTAAAAAAATGTTTTAATGTTACTCGTTTTGCTTCATTTTGTGCGTATCAACTCCAGGTTACAAGCGCGAACGCACTAATTTTTTAAAGCAAGTTGTTTATTAAAACCCGTTGTACGGTACTTTGGGTCCATTTTATACCTTCTATTTCCTCAAACTGTTTCCGGGTTCAGATCTTTGACCCTGTATGCGTAACACAAATACAACCTAAAAAGCAAGCTCCACTGTAAAACCACTGGCAGATTGACATATTGGAAAAATATTTCAAAACTGTCGGAATGTCGAATTGGAAATGTATTGAGAATAATATGGCTATAATAAGCGTAGTGAAAATTGTAACGCGTGATTGGCCGGACTGAAAGCACTGGCGATTCTTGGTAAATGCATCTACTTTCGTTTATTGTCATGCCGATCACAAACCTATGTAAATTGTCATTATGCAGGTGTGCGTGGAATATTTGCAGAGTGGCCGCGCTGTTATTTGTTTATATGTAAAACATTAAATTAAAACGAGGGGCGGGCGATTATGGCATCCACTTAAGTGCAGACTATATTCTATTTGAGGAAATCCGCTGAATAATTTTGAAAATAGGAGACCAGAGACGAGATGTAACGCATGCTCTGTAGTTAGTATATGACAACTGTCTTTCAAGTGCTGCTTGGAGTGTGGCGTCCATAGTTATTTCCTTCAGGTTCCAATAATCGTATGCTTGACTGGAGAGTACCTTTGGACGCATTGGTTAAAACTTTCATTTGTGACGTTGTGTGCCGATGGTCGTGAAAGTCACAATACCTTAGCGGGTAGTCTCACCCAGTGGTTGGTCCACAGTCTCTCTATCCCTCTGATAGAGGGACTGTGGTTGGTCTCACTACTTCAGAAAATCAGTGTGTCACGTATGCAATAGGTTTCGGGGTGTCCGCTATACATATGTAGGGCGGAATTTAAAAAATCACAAAATCAAAATCAAAGTAAAATAATAAAATAAAAAGTCAGTAATAACAAAACTAATAAAAAATAAAATTAAAATAAGTTTATAGCTAAAATAATTAAAGCCCGTACACTACATCAGATTTTAATCAGATTGGAAAGGAATCATGCAATGTGGGACTGTGTCGTGATGTTTGCAACACACTCGTTATGCGTAACTAACCATATAAACACACCAACTAATTTGCTCACGACTCTCACGTCAAGACTCTCGTTACGCCAGTAGCTTGCAAGGAAAACAAGGTGAAAACCTTGTTTTTGTTCAACATGAAGTACTTTACTAAATATTATACTAAACCCCACCACACCCCACCCCACTCTTAGAAATACGTGGCCAGCGCAGTCAGTTAAAACAAGTGCGTCACAATTTTAAATTTTCAAGAATTAATTTTCATAAAAAACAAACAAAATGAAAGCCCAATTTCCTATATTTATGGAACTAACAACAGTGTAATATATATTGATACAATGCAAAGTCAAAGCAATGCAAAACGTGTTCAGAGCTTAGTTTAGGAATAATTTCGTAAATGTGAAAATTGTTTTATGTAAACAACAATCACAGGACAGTTGTAAACACAGGTGTACAAGTGGAAAATGTTTTCAGAGGGCGGGTGCGTTGCTTAGCAATATTACAATGTTATATGTCGTTTTCTTATTATGGGAATGGATTGTTGACTTGCATTCGCATGAAATAGTGTCTTGAAAATAATAGTGTAGTACAAAACGAAAAAAAAAACATACATTGGTGATAAAGATTAGTTGTTATACAGGTCATTCTCATAGATTTCTTTCCATAGACCCCAATACATGGAGTGTGGAGCACACCGCAACATGGATCCGATGGCTGAACGATGTATGTTGCCTTGAAAACACATTCAGTAACGTGGTCACCACTCTCGGAATCGATGGCGCAACGATATGTTCCATGACTGAGCAAGAGTTCTCTCGGAAATTCTATCACCATGGCGACAATGCGGATGTAACCTTTCGCCATCTACAATTCTGGAAAACGGGTATGTGTTCTCAATTGGGGTTAGAGTTCACCAGGCTTCTTATATTTTGGATTAATTATTTCCTTACTTCAGTTTTGTGCGTGTATTTTTTTAATTTTAATGTTTTCATCATTTCTGTCACGATTGTTTTAAATTAAGAACTTGGGCACACCAGGATAGTTGCCCACTTTCGTAATACATGTTGAGTATGTATTTGATTTATTGATCATCTAATAATGTCATCTTAACTCGGCGTTCGCTCTCAACGAAAAAAGATAAAAGCATAATTTCATCGCTCAGTAATAGTTCAGTTCATGACTATTTAAAAGTTTGAAATATAACATGTCTTTGTGTTTACATTACACGGAAGTAAAACTAACCCATTGACTCCCCTCTCCAATTAACTACAGTGCCACCATTTCAAATAGAAGAAAGACCAAACATTACGCCGATAGAACTAAAAAAGATGCGGAAATCTCGTGGTAAACATCGGTCGAAGAAAGCAGACGTGAGTGTAAAAATTATGCTTAGTACTGAATCAAACATCAATAAAATCCCTTATTTTCACGTGTTTGTCTGTTAGTTTTTACAAAACTGGAGTTTAGCAACATGTCAGTTGATGTGCGTTCATTTTGTCATTCTTTACAGCCACCTGATTGCAATTTGAATGATCTGAACTCCACGAGGGTGGGCAGTACCCAAGAAAATTTTGACATGCCAGGTATCAAGGCGACGGAGAGTACTATATCAACCCAAGATGAACAATTACGTCCAATAGATATGAGTTTATCATCCCGCAAAAAAACGGATTTAAAGATTTCACCTATCAAGAGTGACCCCGTGTCTCAAGAAACCGCCGTCAATATCATACCCACGGGTATCGTAAATTTTTACAACTCGGTCCCTGGAACGGATACTCCTGCGATGAATGAGGATGCGCCAGACCTGAGTACACTCTTGAAACGAAAACGTGGACGTCCACCCAAGCAGAAGCCTGCTACAAACTTTGAAATCAGTAAGTTAAATTATATGATGTACTATTACAGGGGTTCGTTTTACATAAAAACACACCACGTGACGACTATGGCGCTTTACTACTTATAACCTCAGACCAGTAAACAAGTTTTAACAAGATTCCGTTGCGTCCTGTTTTTTTTGTTGTTTTTTTAAATAAGTGAAAAACTATTATTTTACGTTTTCTCCATTTACAGAACAGAAAACACACCCAATTCTGTGGAAGTTTCTTCTGGAAATGCTCGACAATCCAGATATGGTGCACTGTGTCCAGTGGGTCAACAGGGAAGAGGGTCTCTTCAAATTCGACTCAGGACAGAAGGAGTTCATCGCAGTCAAATGGGGAGAACGCAAGGGCAACACCAGGATGACGTATCCGAAAATGGCGCGTGCCTTGAGACATTACGGAAAAGTTGGAATCCTTATGGGAAATCGACGAAGGCTTCATTATAAATTTAGCCCCACGTACATGAAAAAAATACCAACCTGAAAATGCAAAGAATGACGTTTGAGCGAATAAAACAAAGTGTACCAATATTATTACATTTAGGGAATGGTTCATCCATTTTATTCGGTGATGAATTTGTTCTTCTTGTTAAATATCACTTTTTTGGTCTATATTTTACTTATTATGTTCCTGCAATGCGTTCTCTAACATGAGAAGACGGCCTAGAGTACATTCTATATATAATTGAAATAACAGTTTTCCTACGCGTTTCTACAAGTTAGATAGTCAATATATATATTGAGGCCTGCGAGTGTTACCCAGTATTGTTAATACTTTTTGTTTCAATCATTGTTATACATTTAAATCTAGCAGCGTTTAGCCAGAGACTTAATAAATCTCGATATTTCCAGTAAACGTGTCACTGAGCACAGTAAATGACATTCTCCGGTGTCTTCTATGACAGTTCACGGGACATCATTTCAGTGACCTGAAATCACCGGTCTAGAGCACACTATGTTTTACAGGTCACAACACGTACCTTGACAGTAAAACCAGTATCTACGCGGTATTCAATATGTAATACATCCGCAATTTTTATACTATCTTGTATATTCTAGGTTTGTATATAACAGTTTGTGCATGCAAATAAAATCAGTGGTAGTACCCTCACCCTCTGATGATAGAATCCATTCATTTTATCCATTTCTGAATGTGTTTTTGTTTAATATACAAGGCGTTTAGCGTGGATTTTATCCCCTCAAACGTTTGCATTGCTAAAAAGGCAAACAATGGTGACACAAACGACTCGAGCGAATGCTGACCACGCCCACTTATATTGTCACAGTTACTTTTGAAACAGTTTGAGACGGGAGTTTGAAAATCACAAGTTATGCGTGGTCGGTCATTCAATACCGGTGGACCATAATTACCATAATTACAAATTTGCCAACATTATACGATTGTCGGAGATGTTATACGATTGGTTTCGCGGTATTATACGATTGTCGGAGATGATGTACGATTGGTTCCGCGATATTATACGATTGGTTCCGCGATATTATACGATTGGTTCCGCGATATTATACGATTGTCGAGGATATTATACGATTGCTTACGCGATATTATACGATTTGTTCCGCGATATTATACAATTGGTTCCGCAATATTATACGATTGTCAAGATGTTATGCGATTGGTTCTGCAATAGTATACGATTTCTTCCGCGATATTATACGATTGTGGAGAATGTTATGCGATTTGTTCCGCGAAATTATATGATTTGTTCCGCGATATTATACAATTGGTTCCGCGATATTATACGATTGTCAAGATGTTATGCGATTGGTTCTGCAATATTATACGATTTGTTCCGCGATATTATACGATTGTCGAGAATGTTATGCGATTTGTTCCGCGAAATTATACGATTTGTTCCGCGATATTATACAATTGGTTCCACGATACGATTGCCGGGAATGTTATACGATTGTCGAGAATATTATGCGATTTGTTCCACCAAATTATACGATTTGTTCCGCGATATTATACGATTTGTTCCGCGATATTATACGATTGTCGAGAATGTTATGCGATTTGTTCCGCGAAATTATACGATTTGTTCCGCGATATTATACAATTGGTTCCACGATACGATTGCCGGGAATGTTATACGATTGTCGAGAATATTATGCGATTTGTTCCACCAAATTATACGATTTGTTCCGCGATATTATACATTTTGTTCCGCGATATTATACGATTGTCGAAAATGTTATGTGATTGGTTTCGCGGTATTATACGATTGTCGGAGATGATGTACGATTGGTTCCGCGATATTATACGATTGGTTCCGCCATATTATACGATTGGTTCCGCGATATTATACGATTGTCGAGGATGTTATGCGATTGCTTACGCGATATTATACGATTTGTTCCGCGATATTATACAATTGGTTCCGCGATATTATACGATTGTCAAGATGTTATGCGATTGGTTCTGCAATATTATACGATTTGTTCCGCGATATTATACGATTGTGGAGAATGTTATGCGATTTGTTCCGCGAAATTATACGATTTGTTCCGCGATATTATACAATTGGTTCCACGATACGATTGCCGGGGATGTTATACGATTGTCGAGAATGTTATGCGATTTGTTCCACCAAATTATACGATTTGTACCGCGATATTATACATTTTGTTCCGCGATATTATACGATTGTCTGGGTATTATACGTTTAGTTCCGCGATATTATACGATTGTCAAGATGTTATGCGATTTGTTCCGCGATATTATACGATTTGTTCCGCGATATTTTACGACTGGTTCCACGATATTATACGATTATCGAGGCTGTTATGCGATTTGTTCTGCGATATTATATGATTGGTTCCGCAATATTATATGATTGTCAAGATGTTATGCGATTGGTTCTGAGATATTATACGATTGGTTCCGCGATATTATACGACTGTCGGGGATGTTTTTTCGTGGAAGTTTTTCATGCATTTTTGTTGAAATTGCATTGAATTTTTCACTTTCATGATCCACAAACACCTCTCAATGACTCCCAGAAGTATCATAACAGCTTTAGATTACCCCAATCCTATATCAAATCTATATCAACCCTCCACCAAATGAGGCCAAACCCACACTAAATATGCCCAACCCTACTATAAACGTACCCAACCTTACACCAAATGGGACCAATCCTACAACAAATGTGACCAATCCTCAACCAAATATGACCAATCCTACACCAAATGTGATCAATCTTACACTAAATGTGACCAATCTTACACCAAATGTGAACAATCTTACACTAAATGTGACCAATCTTACACTAAATGTGACCAATCTTACACCAAATGTGAACAATCTTACACTAAATGTGACCAATCTTACACCAAATGTGAACAATCTTACACCAAACGTGACCAATCTTACACCAAATGAGACCAACCCTACTCCAAATGTGACTAATCCTACACCAAATGTGCCCAACCCTACTATAAACGTACCCAACCTTACACCAAATGG